CATCTTTCTTTCTCTTTTTTTTTTAGAGGTCTCACTATGTTGCCCAGGCTGGAGTGCAGTAGTTATTCACAGATGGGATTGTAGCACACTATAACCTCAAGCTCCTGGCTTCAAGTAATCCTCCCACCGAACGCTACTGATTAGCTAGGACTATAGGCACACAACACCACTCCCAGTGCATTTCTTTTCTTTTCTTCTTCTTTTTTTTTTTTTTTTTGAGATGGAGTCTTACTTCGTCACCCAGGCTGGAGTGCAGTGGTACGATCTTGGCTCACTGCAACCTCTGCCTCCCATGTTCAAGCGATTCTCCTGCCTTAGCCTCCCAAGTAGCTGGGATCACAGGTGCACACCACCAGGCCTGGCTAATTTTTGTATTTTTAGTAGAGACAGGGTTTCACCATGTTGGACAGACTGGTCTCGCACTCCTGACCTCAGGTGATCCACCCTCCTTGACCTCCCAAATTGCTGGGATTATAGACGTGAGCCACTGCGCCTGGCCTCATGGTGCATTTCAAAGTACATTGCAGTCATTGATATGCTTTCCCCTAAATATTTCAGAATGCATATCGAGTGATTTAACTTTTTTTTTTTTTTTTGAGACAGAGTCTCACTCTGTGACCCAGGCTGGAGTGCAGTGGCGCTACAATCTCCACCTCTGGAGTTCAAGCGATTCTCCTTTCTCAGCCTCCCAAGTAGCTGAGATTATCCTGCCTCAGCTTCCCAAGTAGCTGAGATTACACCATCACGTCCAGCTGATTTATGTATTTTTAGTAGAGTCAGGGCTTCACCATGTTGGCCAGGCTGGTCTTGAACTCTTGACCTCAAGTGATCCACCCACCTTGGCCTCCCAAAGTGCTGGGATTACAGGCAGGAGCCACTTCGCCCAGCCTGTGATTTAACTTTTTAAAAAAGTTTCTACTTTGTCAATATTCTGGGTCAATTTAATTGAAGAGCATCCTGAGATTACAAAGTTTGACATTTTATTTGGGGAAATAATGTTTATATGTTGTTAAAGAAATTGTCTGCAATAGCAGCAAAGAAAAAAAAGATGTGATAGACTCTGCCTTAGTGTGCTCCGCTGAAGTCAGACAGAAAGCAGCTCACAGTTAAGAGTGAATGACTTCTATCTGCCTTAATGCACTGCTCTTCAATAGGTGTTTATATGTGTGATGATGAAAAATAATACAGTTTTCATGGTGTCATTTCCAGATTGTAAAGGAGATTATTTTGTCCTTTCCATATTCCCTCAAATAATACTGGCAAGCTGTTCTTAGCTGATTTTTCTTTCTCTAGAACTTACTTGAATTCACAAAAGAATAGGAATAATGTGAGTTTTATAAATTCCCTTCCTAAAATACAAAAATAATGTTTAGGAAATTCTTGGATAAAGCCAAGATAATTGAATTATAACTTAATGCTATTGGCCAGTAACAATAATAGCACTTGAGGTTGCAAAGGCTTCTTATAGACAAATGATCTCATGTAATATTTGCAATAATTCCATGTAGTAGGCATTGTATTTTCTTTTTTTTTTTGGAGACAGAGTCTCACTCTGTTGTCCAGGCTGGAGTGCAGTGGCTCGAACTCAGCTCACTGTAAACTCACTGTAGCTGGGATTACAGGAATGCACCACCACACCTGGCTAATTTTTGTATTTTTAGTAGAGATGGGATTTCACTATGTTGGCCAGGCTGGTCTCAAACTCCTGACCTCAGGTGATCCACCTGCCTCAGCCTCCCAAAGTGCTGGGATTACAGGTGTGAGCCACTGCACCCGGCGTTCATTTTTTATTGCAATAAAATATACATAAAATTTGCCATCTTAACCTATTTTAAATGTGCAATTCAATGACATCAAGTTGAGTCACATTGTTGTGCAACTAACTTTTCCATAAACCCAAACTAAAACTCTATCTATCAAAGAATAACTTCCCACTTCCCCCCTCTGGTAACCACTATTCTTTCCTTCTCTATGAATTTGCCTGTTCCAAGTACTCATATAAGTAGAATCATGCAGTATTTGTCCTTTTAGCTTGTTTTACTTAACTAATGTTTTCAAGGCTTATCCATATAATAGCATGTATCAGAATTTCATTCCTTTGTAAAGTGGAATAACATTCCATTGTATATATTTATGTGTGTGTATATATATACATACACTATATTCAACTATTGATAGACATTTAGATAGATATTTTGACTAATGTGAATAAAGCCAGTGTATACACATCTGTTTGATTCCCTGCTTACTATTTCCATTTTACAGATAAGAAATCCAAGACTCAAAAAAGCCAAAGTGGGCCGGGCACGGTGGCTCACGCCTGTAATCCCAGCACTTTGGGAGGCCAAGGTGGGCGGATCATGGCGAGGTCAGGAGTTCCAGACCAGCCTAGCCAGCACAGTGAAACCCTATCTCTACTAAAAATACAAAAATTAGCTGGGTGTGCTGGCACATGCCTGTAATCCCAGCTACTTGGGAGGCTGAAGTGGAGAAATGCTTGAACCCGGGAGATGGAGGCTGCAGTGAGTCGAAATCGTGCCATTGTACTCCAGCCTGGGCAAAGAAGTGAGACTCCATCTCAAAAAAAAAAGCCAAAGTGAATTGCTCAAATCACATAACTTGTATTTAGTGAAGCCAAAACTAGAACTGAGCTTAGGCCCAGGCAGGAGGTGCTAAACGTGCAGCTTCCTGGGAGGAGTGTGTCAAGTGAATGTTCACTGGAGGTGCAGGTATGTATTTGTTGGTAAACAGCCATCCCATGAGCCCCCACCCCAGCTGCCTGGACCCCCTCTTGGAACTCCCAGGGCCCCCATCATGATCCAAGAACCAAGAAGGTGACAGCTGATCCAGCAGAGTCCCTCAGGGCCCCGGTGTTGATGACAGTGTCTATGGTGACGGTCAGTGCCCATGCCACGTGGTGCCTGATATTCTGAACAGTGCCCCTGAGTATGTCATGGCACCATGGCCTTCTGTGGAGACGAAATAAGATAGGGGCTGTCAGAGGCCTTCAAAAGGAGCCAGAGACGGCCGGGCACGGTGGCTCACACCTGTAATCCCAGCACTTTGGGAGACCAAGGTGGGCGGATCATGACGAGGTCAG